ATCTTCCTCCACTTTATATGGGACGCCGCCACAGCATGGGCTTGCCAAGCAGTGTGTCGGTGCGCACCCGGGATCTGAACTGGTGAACCCTGGGCTGCTGCAGTGGAGCACATGCACTTAACTGCTTGCGCCACTGGGCCGGCCCCCATTTTTTATTCTTTGTTTTGAGTATCATCATGATCTCATGGGCTTATATATATTTGTTTCAACTTATTATAGCCATTATTCTTTTTGATGCTCAATTTGTCTCATCTCAGTTAGTGTGAGCTCTTTCACGTTGGCTTCTATGTCCTTCTAACATGACCCCAGTAGTCTTTGATAGCGTTCTGGATTTTCCACCAAGTTCTTGCACAACAAGATAGCCTAAGCTCATCTTTTCATTGTCCGACTCAGACCAGGAATAAACCATTCTTCTAAGGACTCCTGGTTCATTTGAATGAAAACTGATATTTAAAGATTATACTATGGGCAATAGAGGTACTCCTTGCTACAGGGTTGCCCTTGATTCTTTTTATAGAAACTTTTTTTTTTAATTATAAAAGCAATGCATTTTCTCTATAGAACATTTGAAAGTATAAACATGTAAGGAAATTAAAATTATCCCTAATTTTCCACTTAGAATCTTGGCTTTTGAGATTATAAAACTACTTTTTAATTAGAACTATTAGACATTCCAAATACTTATTAGAACTTCCTAATTCTGTTTTTATAACTTTCAGAATATCAAAGACTTGAGGCATGCTGGGTATCTAGCAAACCCTCCAAAATTAATAATAAAACAACATGTTATTTCATATATACATAACTTATCCAAAATAAAATTGAATATTCCCTTATGAGAGTGGTAGTGGATAGATTTAGGAGTTTTCTCTGTAATAAAATATAAAGAAATAAGGCCAAGAAAAAAGAGACTCAAAGAATTATAATAACATCAGTTGATTTAACATCTGTTTCATGTAAACTTTAAAAGAGACTGTTAGACAATTTGGAAGTATGATAAACTATAGTTAAGTCCCATTTTTACATAATTTAACCAACTTTGTAGTAGGTAATGAGGTTAACCAGGATGAGGAATATAAAAGCAATGGCAGGTTTGGAGAGAATAATGAGATTAAAACAAAAAAAACCCGGCTTTATTGAGATATAACTCACATACCATAAAATTCACCCTTTAAAAGTGTACAATTCAGTGCTTTTTAGTATATTCAGAGAGGTGTGCAGCCATCACCACTATCTAATTTTGGAAGATTTTCATCACGATAAAATGAGACCCCATATCCATTAGCACTCATTCCCCATTCACCACTCCCGCAACACCTGGCAACCACGAATCTACTTTCTGTCTTTATAGATTTGCCTTTTCTGAACAATCCATATAAATGGAATCATACATACTTGTTTTTTGTGGCTGCCTTCTTTTACTTAGCATAATGTTTTCAAGGTTCATCCATGTTTTAACATGTATCAGTACTTCATTTCTTTTTATGGCTGAATAATGTTCCATTGTATGGATATACATTTTGTTTTGCAGTCATCAGTTGGTGGACATTTGAGTTGTTTCTACTTTTTGGCTCTTATGAGTAATGCTGCTATGAACAGTCATGTACAAGTTTTTGTGTGGACATATGTTTTCAGTTCTCTTGGATATAGTTATAGGAGTGGAATTGCTAGATCATATGGTGACTCTATGTTTAACCTTTTGAGGAACTGCCAGACTGTTTTCCAAAGTGGCTGCACTATTTTATAACCCCACCAGCAATGTATGAGGGTTCTAGTTTCTGTACATCCTCACCAACACTTGTTTTTGATTGTCTTTTTTGATTGTATTCATACTAGTGTGTGTGAACTCGTTTCTCATTGTGGTTTTGATTTGCATTTATATAATAACTAATGAAGTCGAGCATCTTTTCATGTGCTTGTTGGCTTTTTGTATATCTTCTTTGGAGAAATATCGATTTAAATCCTTTGTCCATTTTTTAAACGGGTCATTTGTCTTTTAATTGCTGAATTGTAACAGTTCTTTATTTATTCTAGATACAAGTCTTTTATTAGATATGTGATTTGCAAATATTCTCTCCTATTTTGTGAGTCATTTTTTCACTTTCTTGATGATGTCTCTTGAAGGACAACAGTTTTTTGTTTTTGAAGTCCAATGTATCTATATTTTCTTTTTTGTCACTTGTGCTTTTTGTGTCAATATCTGAGAAACCATTGCCTAATCTAAGGTCACAAGATTTATTGCTATGTTTTCTTCTAAGAGTTTTATATAAAGTTTTAGTTCTTACATTTAGGTCTATGATCCATTTTGAATCAATTTTTGTACATGGTGTGAGATTAGGGATCCAACTTCATTCTTTTGCCTGTGGATATTCAGTTGTCCCAGCACCATTTGTTGACAAGACTATTCTTTCTCCTTTGAGTTATCTTGATACCCTTGTCAAAAATCAGTTGTCCATAAATGTAGGAGTTGGTGAACCCTTGATTCTATTCCATTGTTCTCTGTCTATCCTTATGTCGATACTGTACTTTATATGCCAAATTCTTACTTTATAGTAAGTTTTGACATGGGAAATGTGAGTCCTCCAGTTTTTTTCTTCCTCTTCGAGATTTTTTTGGCTATTCTGAGTCCATTACATTTTTATATGAATTTTAGAATCATTTTGTCAATTTCTACCATGAAGGCAGCTGGAATTTGATAGGGATCACATTGAATCTGTAAATCAGTTTGGGGTGTTTTGCCATCTTAACAATATTAAGTCTTCCAACCTATGAACACTGGATGTCTTTCCATTTATTTAGGTCTTCTTTAATTTCTTTCAACTATGTTTTGTAGTTTTCAGTGTACAAGTTTTACACTGTTTTCATTTTATTCTATTTTATGCTATTGTAAATGCAATTTCTTTCTCAATTTCACTTTTGAATTGTTTATTCCTAGTGCATAGAAATACAATTGATTTTTTTTTTTAATCTTGTATCCTGCAACTTTCTAAACTCATTTATTAGTTATAATAATCTTTTTTTGTGGCTCACTTAGGATTTTCAATATACAAGATCATATCATTTGCGAATAGAGATTGTTTTACTTCTTTCTTTCCAGTCTGATATTCGTTTTGAATCGGTAAATTTGAGATGAACAGAGACATCTGTTGGACATGTCTAGCAGGCAATTGGATGTATGAGATCAGAACTAAGGGAAGATTGGGGCAGGAGACAGAAATTTGAGGGCCATTACCAACATGTGAATAGTGCAGTTTGGGGGATGGAAGCCAGATTGAAGTAAATTGAGTAAATAGGAGGTGAGGTAACAGAGATAGCTAATGTAGAAGCACAAGTGAGAAGAAAAGAGCTTCAAAAGGGTAAACTTATAGAGTTTCTCAGATATGGTTTGTGGGCCATCTGCATTTAAATTACCTGGGCTCCTTGTTAAAAATACATTTTTCTGAGCCAGCCCTGATGGCCTAGTGGTTAAAGTTTGGGGCTCACCACTTTGGCTGCCCAGGTTCACTTCCTGGTTGTGGAACCACACCGCCCACCTATCAGTTGCCATGCTGTGGCAGCGGCTCACGTAGAAGAACTAGAACGACTTACAACTAGGATATACAACCATGTACTGGGGCTTTGGGGAGGGAAGAAAAAAAAATTTTCTTATGTTCCATCCCAGGCCCTCTGAATTAGACTCTCTGTAGATGGGTCTTGTTGTTCTGCATTTTAAAGTAATTCTCAGGTAAAGAAATTGAAGAACCACTGAACTAAAGGAATTCTACAGCTGAGACTTAGAGGGAATGAAAGAAATCTTGAGCACTTTTGTAGCTTTGATAGAAACAATAAGGAGGGTGAAGTTGAAGAGTGAGAATAGAGAGGAACCAAACTCCCTGAGGAAGGTGGAATTTAGAATATAGATGAAAGGACTGGCCTAGAATAGGAGAAATGGCTCTCCCATATATCTAGTGTTAACATACAAAGTTATAAAGCTTTGAAGTAATCTAGTTCATTTCCTCATATTATCTGTAGGAAACACATAGTTAAAAGGGCAACATGATGCCCAAGTTTCCATAATCAATTATGTAATAATATTGAGTACAATCTGGTTTTCTGAACTACCGGTTTATTGCTGTTTGCACCACCTCATACTGTTGCTCTTTCTGTTCATTTCTGTGTACAGTTACTTGTCTGTTTTTAGTAATGCTTTAGCCAAGAACATCTCTTCTGTCATAATGTGCTGTTTTGTTCATGATATCTCAGTCATGTAGAGATTTCTAATAGGGAGGAGGGTGCTAAAAGAAAGAGAAGCTCTTGCCCCACACACAAGTCAAATTCTGCCACCGTGATTGGGATAGGTGATTGAAATATCAGCCATCAGCTTTTCCTCACGAAGTGCAGAAAGCTGGAGGATTGTATACAGAACTAGAGTACTCCCACAGTTATTAATTTCTTCTTTCTAGAATAGACTAATCACAACAGTAGTGGCTGTCATTTATTCCATACTTCTTTTGTACCTAAAACTATGCTTAATACTTTACATTCATTATCTTAATTTTTTATAAGAACCCCCTGGAGATAGCTAGTGTTAAGATCCAAACTGTATAAATGAGGAAAGTCAAGCTCAGTGAGATTAAGTAGTTCAAGGAAACAAAGTAAGTGGCAGAACCAGGATGCACACTCAAGTTGGAATTCTGATTCCTGAGTCCATGATCTTAACCACTCTACCATACTGCCTTTCCTTGTGTACGTGGGAGATATGGCTGTTGGAAGAAGGATTAACAATGGCATCCAAAATAAAATCTTGCTCTCTGGACCAAAATTCAGGGTTCTCCTATTATATAACTTCAGTGATAGATAACATTTTAGGACTGAGATCTTATGTTGTAATACTTGCATTGCTTGGTTACCTAAATCTATAAACAAGTATGCTGAATGTTGACACATAATACTTTCTTTTTGCTTTTCAGTGTTCTTATACTACTTTAATGGGGGCTTATGAAGTACTGTTCTCTTTTCAGAAAAACCATGCCAGATGGATCATCTGGATCGAATCCTTCTGTCTGGCATCTATAATGTACGCAAGGGAAAGACTCAGCTGCATAAGTGGGCTGAACGCCTGGTTGTCCTCTGTGGCACCTGCCTCATCGTTTCCTCAGTGAAGGATTGTCAAACTGGAAAGATGCACATTTTGCCTCTGGTTGGGGGAAAGGTAAGACTCCCAAAGATTAATTATTCTTCCTTTGATCATCTTAATTAAAAAAAAAATCACATATGCTTTTCATAGCTTTTTTCACATCTTTTCAAAGAAGCCAATGTGAGCATTATGAAAGATTACATCACAAAGTTTGTTCTTTAGAGTTCTTAGGTTTAAACAGAAGAAACCAACTTGGGCTAATTTAAGCATAAATAAGGTTTGTTTACGTCTCAGACTCTCTGGGAGGTCCAAAGGCTATCCATGCCCCAAATTCTCCTACAAAACCTGTCTGTTGAAGACACCCCTGCCTCCACTGCGAGGCACTAGATGCTGTCACTGGTAATTGCAAGAGTGGACAGGATGCTACCACTAGAAGCTGCCTTTGCAAACTAGAAGTAGCTGCCAGCATCCGTCACCAAAATAGATTCTTTCCAGTTTCTCCTTTTTCCCCATTAGACTAAAATTCAGAGTCTGGGGTGGTTATAAGCCCCTATCCAGTAGCCAGGGAGACCTGCCATTTCTTACATCTGTACTAGAGAATTCCCCATCATAGGAAAGGAGTCAGTTGCAAGTCAGTCAAACAGAATGACAGATGACTGGAAACAGATGTGTTAATATTTATATGAAGCTATACATAATTTTATTTCTTTTATTTTGAATCTTGAATATCCTAAAACAATCTGAGTTTAAGAGAACATCTAGACAAAATGACTTTGTGAATTCATGCTTTGTGATATCCAATCTGATCCAGATACACAGCAATATAGATAAAATACATATATTAAAAAGATAAATGTATATAAAAAAACAAAGCTGGGCTTAGGAATGTAGAATGGAAATGTAACTGGTGAGTAGGTCTGAAGGCTCTGGGTCTGAAAGGTTGTGGCAGTTCAGGAGTTCAGCTGCGATAAGTATGTGGGTCTAAAAGTGCTCTGCTCATGCTGGGAGTGCCTGGCCCAGGTTTATTGCTTAAAGCCAGGAGATAAGTGGTACTCTTTGCTTCTGAAAGAAAGCTGGGGGAAAAAAAAAACCCAAAACCAAAACCCAAAACTGTTGTTAGCTACTGACTGGAACCAAGGCTTGTCCCTAGCTGTGGTCCTAAAGAGGTGGGAGGACTCAGTTATGTGGCCTGTGACTAGGAGATGAACAAGCCCCAACTGGCTTAATGAATGACTGTGTATAACTCCAGTATCAGCCTGGGACAGGAACCCACTACTACCAAAATGAGACCTGGTTCTGGTCTTGGGGACCGAAGGACAGAGTGAAGAAAGTAAGGAAAATTTCTCCAGAGGGAGAAGGTGAGTGAGGACAAGGTTGGAAGATTGGTGGAGAGGAAGCAGAAAACAGAGCAAGAAAGAAAAAGAAAAAATGAACCTTCCATTGAAGTAATTCTTGTCCATTCTTTCTCTTCCCTCACTAATAGAAGAAAATTTTGTTCAGGGTGGTGCTATGACCAAGACCAAAAACTGTATCTCCCCAACCTCCCTTGTAGTTAGTGGTGGCTAGTAGATATAAACAAAAATTTCCGGGTGGAACTTTTGGGAAAGGCTTTTAAAATGGGACAGACAGATGGCTTGAACCTTTGCCCTATTCTTCTTTCCTTTATGGAACACAGTCCCTCAGTGTTGGAGGTGGAACAGTCATAAGGTGACTGGGAACTACAAGCATATGCTGAGTGTGGCCGTCTGGAAAGTAGAAGGTGCCTGGGTCCCTGATGGCATTATGGAGCTGTGCTACTAGTCCTGGACTCACTCTTTTTTCAAGCCACTGTTTTACAGCTGAATGTAATAAACTGATGTATTGAAGAATTTCACAGATAAAAAATACAAAAGAGCCCCTAAGGAAGGTGCTGGTGTGTATCTAATAGGAGTTCTAGAGAAGAGAGTAGAGGACAACAGAGAAGCAATATCTGAAGAAATAATGGTTAAAATTTTTCTAGAAGTAAGATAAACATGAGTGTTCACATTGAAAGTACACCAGATACTAAGTAGGATAAATAAAAATAAATCTACACTTAGACCCATTGCAGAATATGAAAGACAAGGAGCAAATCATAAAAGCTTCCAGAAAGAAAAAGATTACCTACAAAGCATTGACAGTCTGACACATCTTCTTTTCATCAACAATAAGTGCTAGAAGACTATTTGCAAAATTGCTGAAAGAAAATAAATATCAACCTATATTTTATATCCAGCCAAATTATCTTACAAAAGTTAAGGCAAAATAGGACATTTTCAGACAAGCAAAGACTAATGAGCTGACACATCCTCACTGAAAGAACTACTAAAGGTTGTACTTCCAAAAAACAATCTCCCCACCAAAAAAAAAAAAAAAAAGAAAGAAAACAACAAAGGAAAGTAAATTCAAAGGGAAGTTGTGAACAATGAATATAAGAAACAATGAGTGCAGACATTGATAATATATGGTGATAAATTTAATATTGGTGGTAAAAAGTTTTAAAAATTTTTATATTTTAAATATAAATGTAAACTAGTAAAGCTCAAACTACCCTGAACAATATTCAAAGTGTAGTGGTGTGTTCTATAAGTAAAGTATGATGCAGTCTTGGAATAAAAGAATAGGAACACCAAGTAACTTTACACTTTATTAGAAAAACTGTCAAGTATGAATAAAAAATTTTAAGGATAATCAGTGAAAGTCGAAGGGGAAAAGAGAATATAAGTATTCTGTAATGCTAAAAGAAGGCAGTAAAAGAGTTGAGAAAAAGGAGCAAAATAATTAGTGTGGTAAATTATCACAAATTAGAATGATAGAAATAAATCCAAAAATATTAGTAATCACAATAATTGTGATTGTCAGATTGTTATTTAAAATCTTGCTACTTTCTGTTTATAAGACATACCTAAAACTTAAAAGAGAAGGTTGAACGTGAAATGATGGAAAAATTATACTGGTCAATTAGCAACCAAAGGAAAATTGGTGTGGTTATATTAATATCATACATAACATTTATATGCGACAAAGAACTTATATCCAGAATATATGAAGAACTTTTACAACTCAGTGATAGAAAGAAAAATAATCTAGCAAAAAACCGGGGAAAAGATTTGAACAGACCCTTTATTAGAGAAGATACACAGATGGCAAATAAATACATGAAAAGATTCTTGACATCATTGCATTTCATTAGGGAAATGCAAATTAAAATCACAGTGAGATACTATACACCACTAGAATGACTAAATCTAAAGACTGAAAGTTTAGCAAAGATGGGGAGCAACTGGAACACTCATACATCATGGGTGGGAATGCAGTCACTTTGGAAAACAGTTTTTTCGTTTCTTATAAAGTTAAACATATGCTTATCAGATGACCTAGCAATTCTTCTAGGTTTGAGAAATGAGCATGTATCTTTACAAAGACTTTCAGTGAATGTTCATAGCAGCTATATTCTTAATTGCCAAAAATTAGAAACAACCCAAATGTTCATTGACTGGTGAATTGATAAACAAAGGATATGGATATTATACATAACTTAGTACTACTGAGCAGTAAAAAGGAATGAACTGCTGATACACGCAAGAACAAAGATGAACCTCAGAAGCATTATTCTAAGTGCAAGAAGCCAGGTACAAAAGTCTATTTATTGTATGATTCCATTTATGTGAAATTCTAAAAAAGGCAAAAAACTGTAGTGATAGAAAACAGATGAGTGGTTGCCAGGGTTTGGAGGAGGGGATTGACTGCAAAAGGACACAAGGGAAATTTTGGGGGGTGATGGGGTTACACAACTGTATTATTTATAAAAACTCATCAAATTGTCCACTTAGAATCAGTGAATTAAAAAAAAAATCACAAATTTACTTAATGTAAATTATACCTCAGTAAAACTTACCTCCCAAAAAAGACTTGAGTGCAAAAGCATTAGTAGAGATAAAGAGGCTCACTACAAAATGATGAAAGAAACATTTCACCATGAATATTTAATAATTCCAAAGTTGTACATATGTTACAGTGTAGTCTCAACGTATGTAATGCAAAAATCAACATACATAATGCAAAAATTAACATAATTACTCAGAAAAGTTGACAAATTAATTTCTAGTGGGAGATTTACAAACCTGTCTCAGTATTTGATATATGACTGTCTCTATTTTTCTGTGTCAAACGTCACCTAATAAAATATTTAAAAGGAAAGATTATTCTAGAACAATATCTATTCTTCATTGCAATGAAATCCTTTATTTTAACACAGACTCATTCAATTGCAATGATTTATTACTAGTATAAAATGGTCATGTGAGCATCACAATTGAATGTTATGATATTATTTAATTTTATTGGATCTTTTTATTATGATTCTTTTTTGCTTAAAGTATTTTATATTTCTGCCACTTGACTCAATTTTTACTTGGCACCAGAAACCTAATGATTTATGAGTATAACTTGGAAATTTCCAGCTGACTCATCAAGATTCAGTAGCTATGACTTATCAAAGTGAGATGTCAGACCAAGATGTAAGTGGTTCCATGACTATAAAAAGACTTCATCCTCATCACAGCTATATAAATTGAGTTGTTGGAGTTGGGGGAGAATTTCTTTGAAGAGAGTTCTTGTGCTGTGAATCTCTACCACCACCCCAAATGGGAAGGGGAGAGGTTTCTGCCTCTTTTCCTCAAGTCTAGTGAAAGAGGTTTCAACAGAACTCAAGGGAGCTTGATATGAGTCCCTTGTAGGAAGGGGGATGTAGTGGACTGGTATCCTGCCTTCTGACCGGGAAGTCTTGAGAACAAGAAATAGGCTACCTGCCTGCTTTGGTGACAGAGCAAAGCCTAGCTCATATGTTGGGATCATTGTGTACTCCTTGGGTTTGTTAGTGTATGACCCAGATGGGTTGAGAGAGAGTGAGAGCCATTGGATGGGTGGGTGGATTCTCTTAGAAAGTGTCCAGTAGGGCCACCTGGAGTGGCAAACAGGCTTCACTAGAGAACAGGCTGTAAGTGGACCACCGGATTCCTTTGGGTCTAAGGAGGGAGTGGTCAACTGCTGGAATAGCATGCATTAGCCAGGTCAAGGGATCTGTAAGTGAGAAGCCATCATTGCTTGGATTGGGTTGGGGCGTATCCAAAGAACCCTTAAAAGGACACTGAGGAAAAGCATCCCCATTAAAATCCACTAGGCCCAGAGATTGTGAAGTCAGGTTATGACTCTGCTAGTCTAGAAAGAACTTTTGGGCTTCTATCTTCCCTGTAATTTGTCCCTCTCCACTTCAACCCTGGAGGGGGTCAGAGATGGCATCTAGCCCAGCACCTAGTAAGTAAGGGAGGAAGTGAGTCCAAAAACCAGGCCAGGGCACCCTTGCAAGCAGGCAGCTACCTCCAGTGTGCTCCAGTTTTTTGGAAAAGGGTTGGAACAGTCTTACCTTTGAAGTGGAAACTTTGGCTCTTATCATGTCAGCCTGGAGACTCCTGTTCTGAAACACGGCACACATTCTTGCATCACAGGGACTTGAACTTGCTGTTGCTGTGTCAGGAATGCTCCTCCCGCAGGAGGTTTCCACACCTTGCTCCTTGACCCCCTTAGGGTCTTTGCTCCCATATTACGTCCACAGTGTGTCCTTCCTTCGCTGCCCTATTCATAATTCATACCACCCACCCTGTTCCCCTCTAAGTCATTACCCTGTTTTATTTTTATTCATATTACTCATTATACATTACATTGTGTTATGCTACATCGTGTGACAGTTTTGGTGTTAAGAGTGTTCGTCCCCTCTCAAATATAAACTCCATTGGGGGTAGGGGCTTTGTTGTTTTTTCCCCTGCTGTGTCCAGAACAGTAGAATGTATTCATTCAACAAATACTTAATTATCAAATTGAGACTATTTTGTGATTTAAAGGGTAATAAGTAAATTTACTTATGATTCTGCCCTATGAGTCCTACTCCTTCAACATACTTGTTAAATAAGTATTCCTTTGCTTTTTCTAAACAGCTTTGTTAAGATATAATTCATATACCATACAATTTACCCATTTAAATTGTACAATTCAATGGCTTTTAGTATATTCACAGAATTGTGCAACCGTTCCCATAATCAATTTTAGAATATTTTCATGACCCTGAAAAGAAACCCTACACTCCTTAGCCATCATCTCCCCATTCCTTCCCCAGCCCTAGGCACCTGTTAATCTACTTTCTGTCTCTACAGATTTGCCTATTCTGGACATTTCATTTACAGTGTATGGAATCATATAATATATGGTTCTTTGTCACTGGCTGCTTTCACTTAGCATAATGTTTTCAAGGTTCATACATGTTGTAGGGTGAATCAATATTTCTGTTTATGACTGAATAATATTCCATGTTTGGATATACCACATTTTGTTTATATGATTACCTGTTGGTGGACATTTAGGTTGTTTCCACTTTTTGGCTATTATGAATTGCTGCTACAGTTCATGTACAAGTTTTTGTGTGAATGTATGTTTTCCATTCTCTTGGTAGATACCTAGGAATGGAATAGCTGGGTTTATGTTTAACCTTTTGAGGAACTGCCGGACTGTTTTCCAAAGTGGCTGCACCATTTTACATTCCCACCAGCAGTGTACGAGGGTTCCAGTTTCTCCAGACCCTTGCTGATACTTGTTATCCAACACTTGTTATTATCTGAGTTTTTTATTTTAGCCATCCTAGTGGATGTGATGTAGTATCTCATGGTTTTGATTTGCATTTATCTAATAACTAATGATGTTGAACCATCATTTCATGTGCTTATTGGCCATTTCTCTGTCTTCTTTGGAGAAATGTCTTTTCAGATCCTTTGCCTATCTTTAAAAATTGAGTTGTCTTGTTATTGTCCTTTGCTTTTTAACTGGGATTTTTTTCTTATTGGTTCTGGTTTTCTCCCCTCCTCTTCTTCAGGTAGAAGAAGTGAAGCGACGGCAGTACTCACTTGCATTCAGTTCAGCTGGAGCCCAAGCTCAAACCTATCATGTCAGCTTTGAGACGTTAGCTGAGTACCAGAGATGGCAACGGCAAGCATCCAAGGTGATAAGCCGTCAGACATCCCGATGTGGAGATAAGAATGTAGAAGCCCAATAGAAATGTATTTGAAACAACTTACTCCCAAGCGAGCAAATTATAATTCTTATGCATATTACTCTAGACCTTTCTGAGTATATAATGAATGAAATCATGGAATTCCACCAGATCCTTAACTTGTTATTTATGTTTGCATAGTACAAAATGCTTTCAAAAGTGTTTTTGGGTACATTGACCTTTATACCATCTCTGTGAGGAGGGTAGGGCCTTTAAAGAATTGAGACACAGTGAGATTCAAATTCCATCCACCATAGTAGTCAGTGGTAGATGGAGCCATTCCCTCACTTGTAGCCTAGTGCTTCTTGGTCTGTATACATTTAGCACAGCTTTGATGAACCACTTCTGTTTTTTTTTAGCCTGTAAAGATGAAATGCTCTAAAATTACATTGTAGTTTCCAAATTCTCTTGTTCTCCTAGCCATTTTTGCAGAATTTTAACATATTTTTTTTGTGGAGCTAAATAGTTTCATAAAAGATTGTTCCAGTATAATGACATGCCTTGAAAACATTAAAGACTTTTCCAGTGATATTTTGTTTTTTTAGACCCATCTTCATAATGCATGTTTTATTAGCATACTATTATAGAAATATAAATCTAGTTTTAGTTTTATTGAATTTTCTGTACTTATAATGTGGTGGTAATAAAATCTGCTCTGAGTAAAACTAGTTTCAATTTTAAGTGGCTATTCCATTCTTCTGCCCTGATAAAGAGAAGTTAATATTTTTTGAGCACCTTTTGCATGCTAAGCAGTGTGCTCTGTGCTTGGTTATTTAATTTTATCCACATGACAGATGAAGAAACTGCACTACTAAGTAGCAGAGCCGTGTGGCTACAAAAAGCCATGTCTTTTGCTATCACACTGCCTCCCAAAGTTTTGTGCAGTCATTTGGAATCATCTTAACATTACTTCTTGCATGAAATGTTAATTTGCCGTATTTACGATCTGTATTTTTTTACCTTTTACACTTTACAGCTTATACTTTGTGTTTTTCAAGTAGCTATGGTTTTAGGGAAAAAAGTAAAAATTAACTGGTTTTTATAAATGAATAATTGGATCTCATTACCTTTTTTCTTTCCCATCTTCTTAATCAGTGCCTTTTTGTATAAATGCCATTCCATCCTATGCTGGGTGAGAGACATTCAGTGCTGGCTCAGATGGCTCTTCTCTTTGACCTTATTCAGGTGGTGTCCCAGCGAATCAGTACTGTTGATCTCTCATGTTACAGCCTTGAGGAGGTTCCTGAGCATCTCTTCTACAGTCAAGATATCACCTACCTCAACTTGCGACACAACTTCATGCAATTAGAAAGACCAGGGGGCCTTGACACTCTCTACAAGTATGTGGAGAATAGGTTTCCAGACTAACTTGTTAAAACCAAATCGTAATCAATATCTTAGTGGTTTGTATCTGTAAGGAAGCATGCTTATCATCATATATATACTCGAAAATTCTCCCTCCATTTTGAAGAGGAAGTAAAATTTTTTATTCACATAATTTTCCCACTCCCCTGCCCCTCTCCATAAATTGGAATATAGATGCAAATATTCTGTTATGGAGGCAACATGGAACTGCCATTGATCTGGATAATCTTTTTATGTAAGTCATTGAGAGTGATGCATGATCTACAACCAGGGTAAATTGAGAGATTCAGTCTATGGGAACTTTTGAATCAAAAGTATCAAGCTTAAATGACTTAAAGGAAATAGGCCTAATTTCAAGAATTCTGCTCCCAGGTTAGGGCTTTTATCTCTGCCAACTCTTGAACTTTTTGTCAGCTGTGAAATCTCTCTCTTCTAATTAAAGGAACCATTTCACTCCATTTCATAGTCCTAAGGGACTATGACCCATATATTTTTCCATCTCCTTTGTTAGAATATATTCCCTATTTTCACCCTCCATCCACCTCATCTCCCTCCTCCCTTTAAAAATGGACGGAAGTGAATAAATATATGGTGTAAATAATTATCTGGGCTTCTTCTGGGGAGGGGAGAAACTGGAAATTAAAGCATTCAAATTACATGGTAATTAAAAAGATAATATAGATTGAAATGACATTTTACATACTTCCTTAATAACTAATATTTCTAGAATCATTTTCAGAAATTGCTATGATTTTTATCTCATCTGATATGTTTTACAAAGTTTTTCAAGTAAAAGCCTATATTTAGTAATCAGATAATTATTTTAATAACATTGGTATGTAAAAATAAAAACAAGCTATAATTTTAAGAAAGTGGATTTCTAGCATTTCCTTCTGAGTCACTATGAAAATAAGGTTGATCTAGTTTGAGGGCTGGATTAGGAATCCTGAAGTCAAGGCACCAAGCCAAAGGAACAGTCAGTACTCAAGGTCAGGACAACTGAAAATCAAAAGTTGAAGATTTGGAAGAGGAGCATTAGAGTGAGATACCAAGGATTCAAATCTAGAAGCAGGTGATAAAGATCATCATCATGGAGAACACCACCTCAGCTTTACCATCTTGCACTAGTATAATAATGAAGTATACTACTCCTAAGTAGAATTACCAGAGGACTCCTATAGATCCAATCTATGATGACGTTATCTCTGGGTAAGACAGTATAGATACTTTTACTTCTACAAACAAAATAGAAGCACTAAAAATTATTATTTCATGTTGTCTATCAGATCACATTACAGTAAAACTCCATATCACATACATATTTTTAAGCTCTAACTGGCCCATTCATTTCAAGTGATGTTTGAGCTACATAATTTCAATATGAAAAAAGAAGTTGCTTGTAATGGGGTTTGTTAGTTATTCCTGTGTCCATGAGTTGATTAACTGTTGCAAGGCTTTTGTGTATTGCATGTAGAAAGTTAATAAAGGAAAAGATTTCAAGCATATCAAGTATGACTTGATACCAAATAATTATACAAGCATGAGCTTTTCTTCAAGATTTTCTGCCCCCTTTTTTAAAATATTTATTTTATTGTGGTCATAATAGTTTATAACATTGTGAAATTTAAGTTGTACATTATTATTTGTCACCATATATATGTGCCCCTTTACCCCTTAAGATTTTCTGCCTTTTTAGGGAAAGGAGAGGAGAACTCCTATCGCATTAGACCTGGTTTCCTTCATAGCACAGACCGGGTATTAGTTATCTTAGCATCTGTGCCGTGCAAAATATTTGGCACCTAGTGAATGCTCAATAAATATTTGTGGAACAAATTCTATGATGGACACTTAAAATAGATTGCTTTTTTATTCAATAGTATAATCTGTGCCTTTGCCTTTTAGGTTTTCTCAGCTGAAGGGCCTGAACTTGTCCCACAATAAACTTGGATTGTTTCCTGTGTTGTTATGTGAAATTTCTACCCTGACTGAGCTCAACCTTTCCTGTAATGGATTTCACGACCTGCCAAGTCAGATTGGCAATCTACTAAAGTAAGTATCTGACTTTTATTAGGTTCATCTTTTCCCTTGCAGAATTAGGAACTTGTCTGGCATTTGGAATGAAGGTAGTATGAGCTCTTGTAGTGAAATAAATCATGTAATTATGAGGATTCTAGTGAGCAGCGGTTACTTGCCTACAGCAGTGACTAGTCCCTCAGTTTCAACAGCAGAGGCTCTGAATATTTTTGATATTGGAGAGACCATCTAGGTCAGTTACGTATAAGTCATCTTATTAACTCACCATAGACAGACTTAGGATTTAGGACGTTTTATCATTATCAGATTCATAATAAATTAGTAACATAAATCAGAATCCAGAATTCTTGTTTTATCTATTCCAGTTAAAACCCTTCATAAAGTAGTCTTGTTTTGTTTTCTTCTTTCAGTCTTCAAACCCTCTGTCTTGATGGCAACTTTCTGACTACTTTACCTGAAGAATTGGGAAATCTGCAGCAACTTTCCTCCCTGGGAATTTCCTTCAACAACTTTAGTCAAGTTCCTGAGGTTTATGAGAAACTCACTATGTTGGATAAAGTGGTTATGGCAGGAAATCAACTGGAAGTCCTAAACCTAGGGGTGCTGAACAGGATGAGCCATATCAAATATGTTGATTTAAGGTAAGGTCATTCTTTACTGTATCTTCCTTTAGATTGACCTCTGATGGACCTTTAAGTTTTCTCTTTATAAGGACTTCAACACATTAGGATTTTAGAACAGTGTATATTTTCAAAGCTTTAGTAAAGCTTCATTTTTTACTCAATAGCAGAGAGATTATGAATGAGGTAGGTGTACCACATGATAGAGACTTTCAAATTGCCTTTGACAAAGGTTGTTCTGACTTACCCTCCCAGCAACATTTTATGAGAATTCTCATTTCCTCATATCCTTATCACTGTTGGACTTGAGCAGCCTTTTTCCTTATTGTCAGTGTAGTTGGTCAAAAATAGTATTTCATTGTTCTAATCAACATTTATTTACTTACTAGTAAGGTTGAGCATTTTTTTATATACTTATTGGTAGTTTTTCCATAAACTTGATCATTTTTCTGTTGAATCATTGGGTTTCCTTTTTGATATCCATTGTATTATAATTAAAATGTTAAAGATTTTACTACTAATAATTTTTTGTACGAGTTTTATTTTCTAGTTATAATCTATTCCTAAAGAAAGCTGGTAAAAGACACACACTGGATGTTGAGTTACACTAAGCCATTGATGTCCTTTGTAAAGACATAGTATCAGAAAAATTTATTGAAATACAGGAAAATGAGAACAGGCCAGTGTGCTTTCTATAGTTGTATAGAAGAGAACCAAGAAGTCATTTTTTATAATTTGCCCTTGAACTGTTTTATATGGATACGGATTATTTTCCTCTCCATTAATTAATTAATTAATACATTAATTAATGTAATGTGAATCTTAGCATGAGAGAGAGTAGACAGAACAATGGGATAAAGTATGGCTGCTTCCTCTTGCTCTTGACATGGTGGTCCATGACTGCTTTGATACTCACTAACCCAAAAGATTGCGTTCATCTTCTTGTCCCTTTGTCCTCCTCCTTTGTCCCTACATAACTTTACTAGGTATTTGGATGTAAGTCTTTAACTGTTTGTGGATATGGTCCCTATTTCCCTTTCTCTTTATTTAATTTGTATATATATTTGCCAATCTGGATTGTCTAACCCAGTTTATAAACTAAGAACTCAAGGTACAGCCATCTGTGGTTATTTACTTTGTACTTTGCAAAATGAGGCAAGTAGTGAAATTCTTAAGTTGTTTAGGAAAGAGAGAAAGAGATCATACCTCTTCTATTTTTCTTTTAGTAAGCATATTTAGTAGAATTTATTTCTAATGATTTCCTTATTTCTGAATATTAAGGATGAACCATTTGAAAACCATGCTTATTGAAAATCTGGAGGGAAATAAATACATCACCCACATGGATTTGCGGGACAATCAACTGACTGATTTAGATCTTAGCTCCTTATGTAGCTTGGAGCAGCTGCATTGTGAGCGGAACCAGCTGAGGGAGCTGACACTCAGTGGCTTCTCCCTTCGAACTCTCTACGCCAATTCGAACAGTGAGTTCTCTATCCTGTTTTCTTCTCTTGTAGCTCTCGTCAGAGCTTTCTAAGAACAATGGCTTCTGTGGTGTTCCTCAACCACTATGCAAAGTGGAGTTTGAGGTTCATTGAGACCTAGCTTTATCTTTTAAGTTTGCTGTCAACATTTAGGTGGTTGAGATATGCATAAAAAGATACTGCAAGATACTATGAGATTCACTAAGTGAGAATAATAAGAGGCATTTTGCAAATAACGGGGGATTAGGAGAGTGGACAAGCATGTGCAAAACAGAGTATCAATAATAGTTTAAAACAAGGATTGGCAAACTGCAGCCCAGAGGCTAAATTTGGCCTGCCACCTGTTTTTGTATGGCCCACAAGGAATGGGTTTTTAGATTTTTTAATGGTGAGTTAAAAAAAAATCAAAAGAAGAATACTTTTGACATGGGAAAGTTATATGAAATTAAAATTTCAGTGAATAAAATTTGATTAGAACATACCCACATTCGTTTGTTTACAGATTACTGCTCTCACACTATAGTGGCAGAATTGAATAGTGGTAAGAGAGACCGTGTGGCCTGCAAAGTCTAAACTATTTACTGGATATTTAATCCTTTACAGAAAAAGTTTGCCAATATCTGGTCTAAAACCTTGTGCTGCCTCAGTTCTAGAATGAGAAGCCTCTCATTTCAATAGTGATTTGCTCCAGGAGTATTTTTCAGTGTAAACGGCCTTATATTTGTTGAGGCCCTTCTTTTTACAGCAAGTTCTTCTTTACTGCAGAAGTTTTAATTACTTTTTCTAATTAAAGAAGGAAAGGAAAAGATGCTCAGTTTCACTAAGTGTCAGAGAAATGCAAATTTAGATAATACCATTTTATACTCAATCAAATAAAAAAAATAATGCTAAGTGCTACTGAAGACGTGGAGAAGCAGCAGCTCTCATAACTCTGCCAGTGAGAGGGTCAGTGGTAAAACTACCTTGGAGAGCAGAATGACGATGTTAGACAAGTCGAAGATACACATAGCCCAAAATCTAGCAGTTCCCTGCCTGGAATATTTCCCGAAGACACTCACATGTGCACAAGGATATGGGTACAAGAATGTTTATCACAGCATTGTTTGTTATAGTGAAAAAAATAAGAAATATGACTATTAATAGGAAAATTGGTAAACTAAAGAGTGGTATATTTATACAATAGAATATTGCACAACAATGGAAATGAATGTACTAAAGCTTTGTGTATTAGTATGGATAAATCTCAAACATTTTTTGAGCAAAAAAAGTAAGTACATAATGATATGTATATTATGATAGTTATATCACATTTTAAAACACACAAAAATGTTGTTTTCTTATGAAAAAACTCATGGGAATGATAAAAATCATATTCAGGATGATGTTTATCTCTTGGTGTTTGTAGTGTTTTAATTCTTCAAAAGTCTGAGGCACATAAAGCAGAATGTGAAGACTTGTTAAAAGCTAGATGATGGGTGAAAGAGTGTTCATTATTTTATTCTCTTTACATTTCTATATCTCTAAAATACATTATTAGGATAAAAGACAGTTTAAGGACTTCTCTTTTCATTGCCTTTTGTTATGTTATAGAAGTTTCAAATTGTAGCTTAGATTAATTGCTTAGGTCAGAATAGTGTCAAAGCTGATGAGTGTTGACTTGTGCTGTTGATAGATATTGTGAGATGGTAGGAGGTCCTTTGGCATGGAAGTTTTTTCATCAGGCCTATTCTCTATTCTTAATGTATCTAGAGAATCTGAATGACTGGCCCTATTGGAAAAGACCTCACTGACATACATGCAGTCATCCTTAGTAACCGAGATTCTATCACAGCTCTGTACTAAACAGGGCTGGTTTGAAGTTAGCTACTCTGTTTACAGAATCCTTAAATTCTACAACCTAGAAGAATTCACATCAACACTTGCAGCTTTGATGCCTGAAAAGTAAAGAGCTCGGCTTTGCAATAGAAGTTATCCAGAAGACCAGTTAATACTGTATAGGGAAAGGCACTCACTGGTGTTCAGGGATATGCAAATTGAAACCCCAGTGTGAATCATTGCACACCTACCAGAATGATTAGAATGAAAAAGACGGAAAATACCACTGTCAGCAACTAGAAGGATGTGCACCTATGGCATACAACTATCTACTGGGGCTTTGGGGAAAAAAAAGAGGAGGAGGATTGGCAGTAGATGTTAGCTCAGAGCCAGTCTTCCTCAGCAAAAAGAGGAGGATTAGCATGAATGTTAGGTCAGGGCTGATCTTCCTCACACACACACACAAAAAATACCACTGTCAGCTGTTGGGAGTGTAAATTGGTACAACCACTTTGGAAAACCGTTCAATATGAGCATCTACTAAAACTGAACATAAGCAGCCTCTGTACTCAGCAGTTCCTCTCCCAAGCTTATACTCAACATGAATGCTTATATTAGTCCTTAAAAGACATGGACAAAAATGTACATAGAAGTGCTATTTATAGTAACTCCAAGCTGGAAAAGACTTAAATGCTCATCAACTCTGAAATGAAAAAATAAATTGTGGTATATTCACGTAAAAAGTTTTATACAGCCATGAGAATGAATGAGCTACAACCATATGCAATAATACGAACAAATCTCACAAGCACAATGTGGAGTGAATGAAGCCAGACCAAAAAATTATACATACTGTCTGTGTATATTTATATAAAGAAGCAAAAGTAATCTATGGTATTAGGAGTCAGGATGGTGTTGCCCTTGTGGGGCACTGACTGGAACGGGAGACAAGGGGGAGCTGCTGGAGAGCTGGTAATGTTCTGTTTCTTGATTTGGGCACTGGTTATGCCAGTGTGTTCTGTTTGTAAAAATTCATAGATCTATACACTTAAGATTGTTGCACTTTTCTGTATTTGTTTTACTTTAAAAGTTAAAATATTGCCAGTAAAAATCCAATTATTAATTTTTCACATTAAAAAACTAAGTAGTTACTGTTAACATTTAACAATGGCCTGATCTAGTCTGAATCCACTGCAGTACACAAGATCCTTCACTTAGTTTGGTTGGTTTTCAAATTGGAAGCAAGCAATTCAAGTTAGTCAGTGTGAGTTACCCAATGGTTTTAATCTTTAGTTCATCTCAGTGGATGACATCAGTTTTCTCTCTGGTGATTTCACTAAGCCATTTTTCCCTTGTTTACTCTCAGTTACTTTCTTCTTTGGAGAATGTCGCTAACAACCTATTTGTTTTTTGATTAGAGCTGACGGCAGTGAATGTCTATCCAGTACCCAGTCTACTCAGTTCTCTAGAACTCTCCCGGTGAGTGTGTCTCATGAGGGTGGTGCTTGTTTGATTTCTAATATTTAAGAGATATATGTGGATACTTTGGTAGTTTTGAGGTACAAGAAATCTAAATATATTGAGATATTTGGGTAACCTGGAGAAGAGTGAAAGGATGAGTGGAGAAATAAGTTAAATGGCCTGAATTACTCATGGCTGTGAATTACTCAATGGCTATGAATTACTCATTCTTAAAGTCCATGGATTTAAGACAAGATGCAAACAAAGAAGACCTATTACCCCTTCATGGCAGTGATTTCCTTTCTGCAAGTTGGAATTAGATAATTTTTCGTTTTTAGATAGTAGCTTATTTTTTTTTTATATATAATTTTATTTATTTATTTTCCCCCCAAAGCCCCAGTAGATAGTTGTATGTCATAGTTGCACATCCTTCTAGTTGCTGTATGTGGGATGCGGCCTCAGCATGGCCGGAGAAGCGGTGCGTCGGTGCGCGCCCGGGATCCGAACCCGGGCCGCCAGCAGCGGAACGCACGCACTTAACCGCTAAGCCACGGGGCCGGCCCAATAGTAGCTTATTTTTAAATTTTTATTCTCTTAGTTTTTTGATACTCTTGTGGCCCATGTTGGTCTGATTTTCAGAGAGAGATTAATTATACTCTGGATTTTATTACTTTTGTTGGTGGTCAAGAATAAACATAAATGAGGTTTGCTTTCTTTCCTTCATTCATTTTTTTAACACTACGTTAGGCATTCAGGGTTCAGTGGTTGAGTTTTACAGTCTAGTGGAGAATCTGGCAATCAGACAAGCAGTTGCAGAGCAGCATCACAAGTGCTGTGCATATAGAGTGCTAGAAGCAGGTAGACAGGGCAGTGGACGGGGTCCTGTATGGTCAGGGTTGTTGCACAGATTAAATGAGATAATAAATGCAAAATATATAGCATAGTGCCTGGCATATAGTTGTCTCTCAAGAAATATTGGCTATTATAGCCAGGTTTCTTTTTACTGTTGTTATTTTAATATCATTATTATTATTATTAAGCTGTTGTTCTAGATTCCCTTCCATCGATTTATTTCTGTCATATCTTCCCAGCAAAGCCCCAACATGATGAATCAGTACTAAGATTTATCTTCTCCACTGAGCTTGATCACTGCTGAAGAAAATCATATCCAGATGGACACCACTATAAATTCACCATTCATTTGGAGCTTATGGTCCTTTTTCTGGATATGATTTTCTCCCTGGTCATCTAGGCTAGAAGCCTGAAAGTCATTTTTGATTCTTCTGTCTGTTCTAGTCCCATGTCTAATCCATGGCCAAATTATTTTGATTTTTACCTCCTAAATATTTCTGGAATCCCTCCCCTCCCTTCCATGTATATTAGCACTCATTTTGGCCCATATCATTTCTTGTCTGGAATTCTGATTCTAATCAGCTTTCTAATTATTCTTCTTTTACTAATATAACCACCTCACCCAGACCTCCATGTATCCACAGAGAGAGCTATTTAAGGTGCAAAACTGACATTATCTCCCCACTGCTTACACACGCTTCAGTGATCCCCCTATAACTGCAGGATAAAGTCACACCCTTCTAGACTTGATTTAGGTCTTTCCAGCCTTGTTTCTTCCCACTCTCTGTTCCATATTTGCTTCTCTAGCATCACCAAACTGCTTATTATTCCCACATGGATCATGCCGTTTCTTTTCTTGTGCTGTAGCTCAGGTTGTCACCTCTTGCTTGGAATGTCCTTTCATCTCAGGTCATTATACAACATCCTTCAAATTCTAATGCAGATGTCATATTTCTTAGGAGCTTGCCTTGATCCATTTCAGGCAAAGTGCTTCTTTCACTAAGCCATCATAGCAGCATCTGCATTTCTCTTAGAGCACCTATTTCTTCTGCCTCATCATATTGATCAGTTGATCAATAGATACTTGGAGGCCTAGAGAAGCTAAGTAACATCTGAAAATAAAATTCGTTTTACTAAGTATCTGCCCAGTGCTCTATTAAATATTTGAGTTCACATTCTAAACCATCTGGAACTTTTTTCCCCCGCTAGTTATCTTTTGTCCCTCCTTCCTCACTTTGATTCATTCTTTTCCCCAGAATTTGCTTCTCTTTTCCCCCAGTCATTACCTGTGGAAATCCTACTTCTCTTTGAAGGTTTATTTAAAATGCTGCTGCTTCTTTTAAGTCTTTCCTCATCTCTTCCTCATCCCTTCCCACCACATATGTGCTTTCCTGCTGCTGAAATTCTTTGAGCATGCAGCATAATTGATCGCATATCATACATGTTTGTATACTTGTCTCTCTCCATCCTTCTATCAGCAACTTTCATTGAGCACCTACTGTATTGCAGGTAGGGTACCAGGGATGCCTTGAGCATAGTGCTCCTGCCCTCAAGAGGCTCAAGGGCTGGTGAAATGAGTTCCATTCATCATCTTAAATGATGCCTTTTCATTATTTATTTTCTGCAGAAACCTGCTAGAGTGTGTCCCTGACTGGGCCTGTGAAGCAAAAAAGATAGAAATATTAGATGTGAGCTATAATCTTCTAACAGAGGTTCCTATGAGGTATGTATGTGTTAATGTATATATTATGTATATATGTATATATTATGTAAACATGCATATGTATTATATCATGTATGTTTATATGCATGTATTTAATTATTTTCCTAGATTTGGGTTGCCTTGCAAAGGTACTTTCATTTATTTGTTCAGTAAATATTGAGTACCTGCTGAGTGCAGGACAGTGTGAAGTGCTGTAAGGAATACAGTAATGGCTAATGCATAGTCTTGGCCTGGAAGGAACTTAGTAAGCGGATTGTTGAGGTGACTCGTGCACAGATAACTGTGATAAAACATAACAAGAGTTGTTGGCATAGGTTGGTGATTAAGATAGTGATAATAGATCATTTATATTGGGTGAGTATTATGAGCTGGGCAATGTTCTAAGAACTTCACTTTAATTATCTTATTTAATCTTTTAACAACTTTATTATATAGGTGCTCTTATCCTCATCTTACAAATGAGGAAATAAGGCTTACTGTAGCTGGGTGTCTTACCCAAGGTTGCACTTAACTAGGAGGTGATGGGAGCTGGCATTTGAATGTAGTCATTCTTACTCCAGGGCCTTCACTCTTTATCACTACACTGTATAAGTAAAATGTTTTAGAAATTCAGAACTTTGAATAATTAGAGAATGCTTCATGGAGAATGCGTATTTGAATTGACCTTTACAAGATGATGGGATTTCTGTATGTGGAGCGAGGAAGAGAGAGGTATTAGGTTGGGGGTGGGGGGTGGGGAATGGTATATTCAAAGGCTCCGAGGTGTAAAATGTGTGGTTATCACCTAATGGAGTCTTTAAAATTAAACTAGAGGCTTTGTAGCATGGTAGGTATGAACATAGCCTTTGGAATCCGACCTTAGTTCAAATCCTGGCTGTACCATTTACTACATACAGTGTGAGATCTTTGGCAAATCAAGATCACTTAATCCTTCTGAACTTCATAGTTAAATGGCCTGGCACATTTGAAGCAATCAATAAATAGCAGTGTTTGTTATAATAAATTGTTATTATTAATTTATTGTAATCAGTTATATTAATAAATTCACTGAATTTTTGGTGCTGTCTAGACTTAAAATCTAAATGAATTTATTCTAGAAATTATTTTTTTGTTCAGCTCTGTTCTGTGCTGTTTGCTTTCATTAATTCACCTTTTCCCAGAATAACCTTAATGACTTCCTGGTGGGTGGTGGGTAAACATATGGTCGTGGCTTCTTTCTTGGCTCCGGCACTTGTTGGTAATTATACTGTCTGGAAGAATATGTTTCTATTAGTTTACTGATTTCAGTTAAATAGCCAAGGGCAGACTCAGAAGATTTAAGTGTTTTTTACTTGTTCTTTGTCCTGTTTCCCCTTAGAATTCTCAGTAGCTTGAGTCTTAGAAAACTGATGGTGGGACACAATCATGTGCAAAACCTTCCCGTGCTGGTGGAGCACATCCCCCTGGAGGTGCTGGATATTCAGCATAACTTACTCACCAGGCTGCCAGACACCCTCTTCTCCAAGGCCTTAAAGTAAGTGCTGTGGGTTTAATTTAGAAGAGCAGAATCACTGGCTAAACAAACTGCACTGGCTTGTTGTTGGAGTGACCTTTGGAACTCTGTTTACAGAGTGTTTACCTCATAGTCCAGCTAGGGGTGGAGACGTTCGCAATTTGTATGAAATAAAATATGACAATGTTTTACGAGGCAATAATCTTCAACTCAAAAGTTGAAATACCCATCAAATACTTAAGAAGTTTTAGTGTTGTAAACAATTGCAAACAGGTTGGGAAAGTTCAGGCTTTCATCTCAGAAAGTGAATACAGTTGTGACCTTTAAAGAGAAATTACAGCATTCTAAAATACAGCTTCCTTGGGCAACTTGCAGCTTTTGCCTTAGGAAGAAAAGGACATACCACTAAAGTTAATTTAGTTTTTGCTTCTGGCTTTACCAAGCTATCATTAAGTTACATTCTGTATTTGCAACACTTTTTTACTACTTACTTTGAAAACTTTTCATTTAAAGGTAACATTGTTCCAATTTGCTTTCTCATTGTAAAATAACAGATTTTTAAATTGTAAATGGATAGCATTTACAATTTCCTATTTTAATCCTTCCTATTTTAATACCTGTAATGAGGTTTATCTAATGTGTATGCCACCATTAAATGAAAACTGGTTTTTAATTATAGTCTTCTGCAATATGGAGAAGGCAATATTGTCTTCAGTTTAAAAACGGTGATAAGCAGTAGTAATTTGACATAAGGCTACAGGAGACATACAAAGAGTATTTAGCCCACAAATGTCTGGCTTGTTCTTTGTTTGGCAGATTATACATCTTTTAATGTATAATACACTTGGTTGGACTTTCCTAAAAATAAAATCTTTGGAAATTCTAAAAAATGTTTGAAGGAAATTCTCTTTTTGAAAAGTTTACATGGAGTCTTAATGCAGTAATATTTGTTAATTAACAAGTATTTATTAGTAATGCGTAACACTTCATTTAATTCTAATGACAGTCTGAATAAAATTAGTTTACAACCTTAGAATCTATAGTAGGGAAGTTATTTAGCAGCTGTAGCCAACTCAATGATATTTGTTTAATACTAACTCTGCACAGAGCACTTTTGGGACGTACAAAGACACAAGCCAACACACATTACCCTCAACAACTTACAAGCTAATTAGGGATGTGGCTCATACAACATGAAGAAGACTTAAGAACACATAACAAATTTAGTAATATTAGCCGCCTTTTTTTTATCATATTCTATATATACCAAACACTATGCTGGGCAAATTTTAAAAATCATACCGTGTTTTCCCTATTAGATTGGCAAAAATTAAAATGAATTATGATACTCAGTGTTGACCATGGTGTGAGCAAACTGACATTCTTATATCCTTGTGGAAGTATAATTTGGAATATCCTTTCTGGAGCTCAGTTTGGCAATATATATATAAAAATCTTTAAAAAGATGAAGCTAGGTTAGAATCAGGCCACTAAAGAAGCCCGGGAACACCACCAAGCCTGTACTCTTTCCTCCCTACTTGGCTTGCGTGAGTTGAGTAAAAGGAACTTTCGTTGGGTAGAATCAATTAGAGAAAACTACCTGGAGGAAATTACTTCTGTCACGAGTTTGGGCGCATGGAATGGCAGTGTTCCATACTGAGATGGCATGATGGTTTCTATATAAGAAGGCGACAAATAACCGTAAAGGAAATGATTTGTGTGTGTTCTATCAGTCTCAGATACCTGAATGCATCGGCAAATAGTCTGGAGTCTTTGCCATCTGCCTGTGCTGGCGAGGAGAGTCTGAGTGCACTGCAGCTGCTCTATCTGACCAACAACCTCCTGACAGATCAGTGTGTGCCTGTGCTGGTTGGGCACCCACACCTGCGAATCTTGCATCTCGCAAACAACCAGCTACAAACTTTTCCTGCAAGGTAAGCTTTGGTCATTTCAAACACATGACATGAATTCTGCATTTGTCAGACGACGTTACAGCGATCATACCGTGTACTCTTGCTTTATATTGAGTGACTTACTGATGCTGTGATTCCACTAGTCGAATGGGAAAATCTGTACCCAATTGTTAAGTATCAGTAACTAGAAAAGTTGTGGTTAAAATGTGTTTAATTCTTAGTTCTAATTACTTAATAATGGTCTGAGAATTTTCAACCTAGGAAAGTACAGGCTTATGAAATAAAAGAAATTGTAAAGATAATTTTTTCTCTTGTCAGCACTGTTTTATAAAATACTGTTGAGTCCATTAATTTATTCATTATATATATATTGAATGCCTGCTGTATGTCAAATACTGTGTAAGTGCTGGGGAGACAGTGGTGACTAAGTTACAGTCTCTGTCCTCAAGGAACTTACAGTCAAATTGGGGAAATAGACAAATATAGAGGCTATTGCAATGCAGTGTAATTAATGCAGGATGTTAAAGATATGCACAGGTGGCCAGCTGCGACTGCACAGGGCCTGGGAGTGGGTTGGCCTTCCTGGAGGAAGAGATGAATAGTAGTTAGCAGGCTACACCTATAAGAAGACAAATGAGAGAAGCTTAATGCTGTCAAAGTTTTAAACAGGGTGAGTGGAGAAATAAATATCTTCCAAAATACATTTGATAAAAAAGGTCTTGGAAAATTTGACACCAGAAAAACCCATCTATACTAGGAAAGTAGTCATTAAAAATCGTGTTTTCAAAAACTAAGAACATAGGGAAATGACATTTGGTAAAATTTGAATGAAAATAAAACTATAGGGCCGGCCTGGTGGTGCAAGTGGTTAAGTGTGCGCACTCTGCTGCGGCGGCCCAGGGTTTGCCGGTTTGGATCCCGGGCGTGCACGGTCGCACCGCTTGGCAAGCCATGCTGTGGCGGTGTCCCATATAAAGTGGAGGAAGATCAGCATGGATGTTAGCCCAGGGCCAGTCTTCCTCAGCAAAAAAGAGGAGGATTGGCAGATGTTAGCTCAGGGCCGATCTTCCTTCCTCACCAAAAAAAAGAAAAAACCCTATATATTTTGATTCTAATTTTATTTTACAAGTTTTCTTAGCAGTATGATTAACTCAGGAAAACTTATTGTAATTCTTTTGAATATTTATGAAATGAGCTATTTGGAGCTTATAGAAGACAAGTGGGATAAAGTTGATTGCTTCCTTGAAAGAATTTGAACAATGGCTTTTAAAGTGAATGCAAAATCTTAACTTCAGGATATGATAGATTTCTTGAAATCCTATCAGATTAATTCAGTTGGACTCAAATATGTTCATATAAAGTGAAAATGACAGACCACTGACAAGTTCTATTAGTGTATGAAGTTGTTGTGAGATACTAGATGTGATATTCTGAAACTAATGAATTCCGCCTAATTTGATGACACTCTTATTGTTGGAAGGGTCAAAGGCAGGCTGATGTAAAACTTAAAACACATCGAAGAATATGAAAATAAGTTAGAAGTAAACACAAGAATTAATAGGAGATTACATAAAATTAGAGTAATCTGAATACAGATAATAAAACCAAATGGAATTTAGGAGCAGTATATTAAAGGAAACGTTCTATAACTGAATAATAAATCCACTGTCACGTCATCTTCTGAACAGTGTTATAATTGCACAGGCACAGTCCAAATCTTCTGTGTCTTTTGGACTGTTTTCAGAATCTAGCACAGTTCTGGGTGCTCAGCAAGAGACTGATTGAGATTGGCGTACTACATTTCTATTTACAAGTCAGAAGGATCCAAGCAGGGAGGAGTATGAGAGAAAAGCATGAGATTTGGAAATGGAAACAATTTCTAAATATATTATTAAGTAAAAACAAGTTATGAAACAATATGTATAATATAGCATCATTTTTTTAATTCGAAAAATATAGTTTCAAGGAGGATTACTTAAAAGAATAAGAATTACTCATTAGGGCCGGCTCCGTGGCTTAGCGGTTGAGTGCGCGCGCTCTGATGCTGGCGGCCCAGGTTCGGATCCCGGGAGCGCCCCGAGGCACCACTTCTCCGTCCAACGCGAGGCCGAGTCCCACGTACAGCAACTAGAAGGATGTGAACCTATGACATACAACTATCTACTGGGGCTTTGGGGGGAAAAACTGAATAAATAAAATTTTAAAAAAAAAAAAAAAAAAGAATTACTCATTAAAAAGGATGAGAATAGTTTCCACCAAAATGTCATCAGAGATTATCTCTGATAGTGAGATTAAAATTTTTTTTTTCTGTTTCTGTCTCTGTTCTATTTTTTTCTGTTTCTGTCTCTAATTTTTTTCAGTGAGTATTACTATTGTAATAAGAAAACAATTTTAATTTACTGATCTTAGTTATTAAAAAGTATTTATGAATTTTCTAGCAATAGAAATTATTTATGATATGTTAATGAAAAGGGCAGGATATAAATTTATGTAAAACAAATCTGCATGTGAAAATTTAGTAGGAAATTCAGCAAAATGAGAATAGTAATTTTTTCAGATTGATGGTATTATTGTTGATTTATTCTCTTCATTTTCCGAACTTTCTGTCCATGTTACAGCAGTTTATTATTTTTATAATTTTTTAAATAGATAAAAAGAAATCACAGCAATTTGTAATAATCTGGATAAAGGTGTTAGGCCATCTTAAGATACTTTGCTTGCTGTGTAGAAAGTTTTGCTTAATCCCATGGAACAGTGTGACTCACTTGCGTCATAGTCCCGAGTACAGTGCTGTATGTATGATAAGCACTGAGTAAATGTTTAGTGAAGATGGATTATGCTATGAATAGGTAACTGTGGAAATTTAAAACTGAAAGGAACCCCAGAGATGATTTAGTACAACTTTTTTATTTTACAGCTGAGGATATTGGTGTCCATTGACATTAACTTACTGAGTATTTTGCAACTAGTTAGTGGCAAAGCAAGTACCATAACTAATCTACCAACCTTAGGCTGATGTTGGTTTAGCCACTTCCTGTAAGTCAGATAACAGGAAGATGTTCATGCCTGCAAGATCCCACAGCTGTAAGAGAAGCAAGAGAAGCTTTGGCCCTCCTTGGGAGGCAGATTAGGCTGAGATTCAGAGGAGCAGTCACTGTGGTGATCCGTTCCCTTTGCTGGCATCTGATTGCTTCATTCTGACCAGTCATCTGGCAGTGGACCGGGTCACCTCTGTACTCTGTGGCTACTGTAAAACTTGCTTGGCAGCTGCTCATTTCGGGTGTAGTATGGTATTTTTGGTGTTTCTTTTTCAGCAAACTAAATAAATTGGAGCAATTGGAGGAACTCAACCTAAGTGGCAACAAGCTTAAAACCATTCCCACAACCATAGCAAACTGCAAAAGGCTGCACACCCTTGTCGCTCACTCCAACAACATTAGCATTTTCCCAGAAATACTGCAGTTGCCTCAGATCCAGGTACTTTTATGTGCTGGAATGATGTCCTTTTGGGGGAAATGGTGGGAGTGTGAATGAGGTTATTCTCGTAAGAAAGAAGAAAGTGGCAATTTGGGATCACAGTATGTTTAATTGATTCCTGGGAAGACATTAAGTTCCCTTTGAGGATACAGCAGGAGATTGAGCATTAGGGAGTTAAGAATTAACTTAATTTCCCCATTTTCCTCTCAGTTTGTAGACCTAAGTTGCAATGACTTGACAGAAATCCTGATTCCCGAGGCTCTGCCTGCTACTTTACAAGACCTTGACCTGACTGGTAATACAAATCTTGTTCTGGAACACAAGACGCTGGACACATTTAGGTAGGAAAAAATTTGAAGTTGAATCCACATGTGATTTTAGTCCCACCAGCCATGCATATGTCTTCTTAAGGACTGTGGAGATCTCGATTAATTAAAGGAATAGAAGGATTTCGGTCATAAAGCCCCTTGGTTCTCTTCTTTGATTCAATTTTTGATGGGTCTTCTATCCAGTAGTCAGCCCATTTATATTAGAACTCAGCATTATGACTACTGCTCACCCATACACTGCATATTTTTACATGAAAGGCATAGATATTTTAGGTGGCACAGATCACATTACATTACAACATCTGAGAGACAGTGCAAGCTCATTCATTGTACCAAGACTTCATTGTATCAAAATACTTAAGTAGAGAGTTGGCTGAAACTTAGAAATCCTTCTTGTGCTTAGTTTTTCATTGAAATGAAGGGCATCAAGTGTAACAATATTTGGCCCCTGTTTCTTCCTCCTACCCCTTTCCTTTCTCCTCCTCCTTAGCCAGTGGGTCAGCACACTACTGTCATTCAGTCTCTCTGGAAATGAATCTTGGTCTGTCAGATTATTTTATAAAAACATGTATTATTGTTGGGATACTTTTTGTAAAATACAGAAGTATATATGGTTTAATCTTCCCTTCCTTCACTTCCCGCAGCCATATCACAACCCTAAAAATTGATCAGAAACCTTTGCCAACCACCGATTCTACAGTTGCATCCACCTTCTGGAGCCATGGACTGGCTGAGATGGCAGGGCAGAGAAATAAGTGAGTATCTTGGCCCTGGAGACAGAGAAAAAACGCAGCCCCTGAGATCTGGGAACTGATCTGATGCTGAAAGCTGGGCCGTGTTGTTCTCCTCTTGGACATAAACAGTCACAGAATGCCAACATCAGATAAGATGGCTGAGACCATGATCCCAAGACAAAAACAAGATGAATCACAGTCCACAAAATACCAAACACCCTCTCTTGTGGCTAAAATGGGTGACTGCTACTTTCTTTACCAACTACAGCTTTATCCTCTTTCCCTATAAATAAGATTTATTGAGATACCCAACCATAGAGTGGCCCCGCTTTCTGACAGCACCCAATCTAGTGTGATCCCCGCTTCATTAGACCTTCCCCAAAATGACCCAACCAAAGCCCAAATCCTCTACTAGTTTTTTTCCAATACCCTCTTACCTGTATGTCTCCAAGTTCCATGGTGTGCATTCTCCCTTGCTGCAAGGCATAATAAACCCAACTTGGTCAACCACAGGTGTGCTCCTGGGGGTCTTTAAGAATACTAGTCCTTAATCACTACTAAGAGAAAACATTTAATCTGTCCAGCCTTAGGCAGCATTGCAAAACTAATATGTACTGCTCATGGAAGTGGCTGAATTCCCCCTTTTCTTATGATGTCAAGTCTTTCAGATGATGCTTAATTATCTTATCTAATACTTTTTTCATGTATAGATTAGGATTTACTACTATTCTTCTCCACCCTCAATTAATACTTTTTTAAAGAAGGCGCCCTGGAGAAGAATCCTTTACCAATCCTTTACCTGTTACCAAGAACAATTCTTTGATGTTTGTCTGTCTTTATTTCTGTGATAGGCTGTGTGTATCTGCCCTAGCTGTGGATAACTTTGCAGAGGGGGTGGGAGCTGTGTATGGCATGTTTGATGGGGACCGAAATGAGGAGCTCCCTCGCCTACTCCAGTGTACCATGGCAGATGTGCTTTTGGAAGAGGTACAGCAGTCGACAAATGACACAGTCTTCATGGCTAACACCTTCTTGGTATCTCACAGGTAAGCAGGTGGGTTGAGGAATCCCTAACTCAGTCCTACTTTTGGAAAATAAATCTCAGTAAGCCAAAAAGTCAGAGACTGAGCTATAGGTACAGAGGCAAGGTGAGGTCTTGTTCCTTCTTTGACTGTTCTCTCTATCGGTGTGGAATGTGGGGTTTGGGCTCTTTAAAGAGTCTGTGGAGCCATCTCTTTTCTCTGTTGAACCCAAAGGCTGCTGAGGATCTGGAAAGCCCAGAAATCATGCACAAAAGGGTAACTGTGTATATATGCATTTGTACATTTGGGGAAAGGAAAAGGTAAGCTTTTATAAGATTCTCCAAAGAGTCAGTGACCTGTAAAAGGTTAAGCACTGATCAGATGCATGTGTTTAGAGTACTTATTAGTGGGGATTTATCAATTAATCTTCTGATTGAAGTCTGAGCTACTTAAGGGCAAAAACCCTACATAACCAAACTGTTGAAGATCTCTTAGCAGCTGATGGAGCATCTTGCACATCAAGTGGGCTGCATATCGGATATGTACAACTGGGAGGTTGTCAACTTGTGTAATGAAGGTTGAAATGGAGCAGCCTGGAGCCCGAGCTGGTTTTATCTGTCATTATAACACAAAGATGTTGGGAAAGGAGTCTCTTTTTCACTAATAGAATTGAGCTTGGGGACTTGGTAAAATAAAGGGTTTTGGAAAGGGAACTCAATTTATGAAGCACCTCCCAAGAGCCAGGCACTACACCAAGCATTTTTCATACTATATCTTTAATTTTCAAGTAGATATTTTATCAGAAAAATTCCTCAGAGAATTAACTTGCTGAGAATCTACAGCTGCTAAATGGCAGAGCTGGAATTTGAACCAGATCTTTCTGATAGCATCCATCTGGGGGATAGATGCCATGTGCATGGGAGAAATACAGGGAGGATTATGGTCCTTCCTTCAGGGAACTTACAACATAAGTGAGTGGTTCTCAAAGTATTGTTCTAGGACCAGCAGTCTCAGCATCACCAGACACTTGTTGGAAATGCAGATTATTGGGCCAGCCCCTTACCCACTGAATCAGAAACTCTCTGTGGGTGGGGCCCAGCAGTGTGTGTGTTTTAACAAGCCCTCCAGGGGATTCTGATGTACTCAAGTTGGAAGCCACTGAATTAGGTCACTGTAGTCTATGATCAGATGTAAGCAGAGGCAGAGAAAGATGTACCTTCATTGTCTCCTCTTTCCCCACGCTTTTTGTAAAATTTCTTAGTCAGCTAAGCATGGAAGACAAGGCTTTCTTCACCATCATCATCTATAGCAAGAGACTGCCTTCAGGTTGATAAGGCTGGTTCACAGTCACATGGCAGAAAAACAAGGAAATCATGGACATGAAGGACTGCCACTTTCTTCTAAAATTAGCTACCATGTCTTCATTTTCCTTTCTAAACAGGAAATTAGGAATGGCTGGCCAGAAGCTGGGCTCCTCTGCTCTCCTCTGTTACATCCGCCCTGATTTGGCTGATCCAACAAGTAGTTTTAGCTTGACAGTGGCCAACGTTGGCACGTGCCAAGCAGTCCTGTGCCGAAGTGGGAAACCAGTGCCCCTCTCTAAGGTCTTCAGCCTGGAACAGGACCCCAAAGAGGCTCAGAGGGTAAAGGACCAAAAAGCCATCATAACAGAGGTGAATCTCACTCTCTACCAGTCACTTCTACTCCTCATATCTGGTGAATGCTGTTCTGCATAGAGGCAGTGAAGGTCCATTTTCTTCCTATCAAGCCTGGTTAATTGTGCCCAATCCAAATAATAGTACTAGAAGAAAATCTAAGGAGCAGTTAATGACTAGCAAAAAGAAAAAGCAAGTTAGAAATGAAAAATCCTAACTTGTGGTTGATCCTTTAGATGTATAGCTAACATATAAAGTGAATGTAAATGTCCCCCTTGGTTGGTTTCTAGCTCATCTGGTTTGTTATTCCAAACAGAAGAAGGAAAAGTTCTATAGTTTGACATCTCCATTCTGAAGTACAATATTTCAGAATATTTTTTTCTGTTTATATTGTATATGACTTAGTATGCTCTGGTGTTTTTTTTTTTTAAATAATGAAACATCAGTATCTCTACTGTTTTATATAGCTTTTCTCTTTTTAGAAGTTAGCATAACATTTTTCCTTTCAGAGACTTGAGCAATTACATGTGAACATTGTTTACTGCAAAGCAGAATTCTGTTCAGATCTTTTGCCCATTTTTTCATTGAATTGTTTGTTTGTTTATTGTTGAGTTTTAAGAGTTCGTTGTGTATTTTGGATACAAGTCCTTATCAAAAATATGGTTTGCAAATATTTTCTCCCAGTCTATGGCTTTTCATTCTTTTAACAGTGTCTTTTGCAGAGCAAAAGTTTTTAGTTTTAATGAAGTCCTGCTTACTATTTTTTTTCTTTCGTGGGTCATGCTTTTGGTGTTGTATCTAAAAACTTGTTGCCAAACCCAGTCACCTAGATTTTCTTCTGTGTTATCTTCCAGAAGTTTCGTATTTTATATTTAGGTCTATGATCTATTTTGACTTCATGTTTGTGAAAGGTGTAAGCTCTGTGTCTGGATTCTTTTTCTTTTTTTTGCTTGTGTATGTTTAGTTGTCCCCGCAGCATTTGTTGGAAAGACTCTTCTTTCTCCATTTAATTGCCTTCACTCCTTTGTCAAAGATCAGTGCACTGTGTTTGTGTGGGTCCATTTCTGGGCGGGCTGTCCTGTCAGAGTTCTGTATAAAGAGTAACCATATTAGATTCCATCCAAGGAAGCACAGAACCAAAAAAAGTATCATTATAGTGTGGTTGATACTAAAAGATTCTGGAACTATGAGGCATTAGTCTTAGGAAGGTCTTTCAGTCAAAACAAATGCAAGATAAAACGATAACTTTTTGTTTGATTAGTCTGCTTTTACAGTATTTAGATAATGTTTAGATTTTTCATATGGGGTCCTAGACAAGTAAGAAATATTTTTACAAATGGTATTTTAACCACAGACATTTATTGTTGGCTTATTATTTGCTAAGCACTGTACTTTCATTATTTTATTTAATCTTTACAATAACCCCCATGAAAGAAGTGCTTTTATTTCCATTTTACAGATGAGGAAAATAAAATTTAGAGTTTGTGACAAATTCCAGTAATGAGAGAGCCAGTATTTTCACCCAGAGAATGACTGCAACTATGAAATAAATATATTGATGGCTTTAGAGGTTTTGTTTGGTTTTATCTTGAAAAGAAATCAGTGCAAAATATCTGGCAGATGAACATTCCCAACCTGCAACCAGGATTATTCCTTTTTCTCTAAGTTTAGAATTACATCAGTTGTGACTTGATCTGCTTTTCATTCTTGGTACAATCCTTACAGAGTAGGTAAATTATGCTACAGATTTCAGACTTTCTGTTTCTAGCCTAAATAATTTTTTAGATTATTTAATGCTTTAGCTACAAAGATTCTCTTAGCCATTTATAATATCTTCCTGAATCTTTTCAGTCCCAACTGTGCCCTTAAATGAGGAATCGGGGCCAGCCCAGTGGCGCAAGTGGTTAAGTGCACGTGCTCCACTGCGGCGGCCCAGGGTTCGCCAGTTGGGATCCCGGGCGCGCACCCCGGGCGCGCACCGACGCACTGCTTGGAAAGCCATGCTGTGGCGGCCTCCCATATAAAGTGGAGGAAGATGGGCATGGATGTTAGCTCAGAGCCAGTCTTCCTCGCAAAAAAAGAGGAGGATTGGCAGATGTTAGCACAGGACTGATCTTCCTCACAAAAAATAAATAAATGAGAAATCATTTTTAGTGACCAATCTGAGTTTTGGCCTCTCTGAGAATACTAATGATGCAGAATTAATGACAGTTCTACTTATTGTTTTTCTAACAGATGTTTCTTTATTTAAGGACATGCTGAGGTCTATACTTCATGTTAGAGCAAGTATCTTTGGAGATGGGGGTGCCTTCTAGCTACTTAATTTTAATCAGTTAACTGTATGATATTTTGTCCTTGTAGAATTTTATACATTTATTTTTGTGAGTCTGCTTAAAATTATACAGATCCCAGGAAAAAATATATAACATGTCAATTCTATTTTATTGTAAAACCCTAAGCATTGTGATCTAGAAAGATATAAAATTGTATGTCATTGTTGCTTGTTTCTCAGAATTTGCATTCTGCTTGTCTCTAGGACAACAAAGTGAATGGGGTAACCTGCTGTACCCGGATGCTGGGTTGTACATACCTCTACCCTTGGATCCTCCCCAAGCCCCACATATCTTCCACTCCGCTTACTATTCAAGATGAATTGCTGATTCTGGGAAACAAAGCATTGTGGGAACACTTGTCATATACAGAAGCTGTCAACGCAGTACGCCATGTACAAGACCCATTAGCAGCTGCCAAAAAACTGTGCACGTTAGCCCAGAGCTATGGTTGTCAGGATAATGTGGGGGCAATGGTGGTTTATTTGAACATTGGTGAAGAAGGCTGCACTTGTGAAATGAATGGGCTCACCCTCCCAGGTCCTGTGGGATTTGCTTCAACCACCATCATCAAGGATCCACCCAAACCAACCACTCCTTCCTCCAGTAGTGGTATTGCCTCTGAGTTCAGCAGCGAGATGTCCACTTCAGAGGTGAGCAGTGAGGTGGGATCCACTGCTTCTGACGAACATAACACTGTTGGCCTAGATGGTGGCTTGCTCCCAAGGCCAGAGAGGCGCTGCAGCCTTCATCCAATACCCACCTCTGGGGTTTTTCAGCGCCAGCCTTCTTGTGCAACCTTCTCAAGTAACCAGTCTGACAATGGCCTGGACAGTGACGATGACCAGCCTGTTGAAGGGGTCATAACAAATGGTAGCAAGGTAGAAGTAGAAGTAGATATCCACTGCTGTAGGGGAAGGGATCTTGAGAACTCTCCTACTCTTACAGAGAATTCTACCCCATGTCCTGAGGAACATGCTAGAGGATTATTTTTTGGGATCCGCAGACAGAACAGTGTGAATAGTGGCATACTTCTGCCAGTGAGCAAGGACAAGATGGAGTTACAGAAGTCTCCCTCCACTTCCTGTCTCTATGGAAAGAAACTCTCCAATGGCTCTATTGTTCCCCTAGAAGATAGCCTGAACCTCATTGAAGTGGCCACAGAAGCACCCAAGAAGAAAACCGGCTATTTTGCTGCCCCCACTCAGCTGGAGCCAGAGGATCAGTTTGTTGTACCTCGTGACCTAGAAGAAGAAGTGAAGGAGCAAATGAAACAACACCAGGAAAGCAGGCCTGAGCCTGAGCCCAGCGAAGAGGATCGGACCGAACTCCCGGAGGAGTTTGACACAGCTCTGTGATCCTCCCCCAGGAGCCACGGCGCTAGGGAAGACTGTGTAGTGTTGGGATGGGGACCCTTCCAGAGCATTTTGCCTCTGCATTTCTAAACCATAGATGAAGAGGGTAGAACTTGGAGCCAGAAATGGTGAGAGCTATCAGGGTCTTGCTCTGGATAAGCTAGTAAACGCCATCAGTGTTAAGGTTCACATTTAACCTGCATTGGAATTCCCAAAGTTCCTGGGGAGAAAGCAGATGTTGCCCTGTATCAGTCCTACCACCTGCCATTAACCCTTTCTCTCCTAGGATGATTTTGAGGATTTGCCTGCCTGGGCAGGAAAGGGACTATCTCTGTGGAGGAAGTAACTGAAGATTGATTCTCTTTACTGATTGCTGCTGATGGATCTCTGTGACAGAGAAATCACCTTCTATCTCAACCTAACTGATGGGATGTGATGTGACTAGTCACATGGCTTTTCATTCTTCTCTACGAGAATACAGCCTATTGAAATGACGTTTATTGGAAATGTAGAACCAATCAAACAGATAATTTATGTATGTAATGTAATGAGAGCACTTTTCATTGACTGTGAACTTTTTATTATCGAATCTGCACTCGAGCCAATCTTCTTAGAGGCAGCCCAGCACCTTTGTCCATAGGCAAAATGATCATCGGGTGTTGGAGCCTTCTTTGAGGGTACTAGGAAGGGCCCTGGGAAATCGATTTAACTATTAGATGTCAGACTCGGAAAGCTCCTGAAACTTAGGGGAGTAGGATCTTCTTTTGGGGATGAAGATGGGGAAGGACTGAGGACTAAGACTACTTCCCCCCAAATCACAAGAAGAGAATAACTCCTTGATAAATGTGACACTTGCTAGGAATTTCCCAGCAGATCACAAGAGAGGCATTTGGGGATTGGCCTTTTTCCATAACGTGTGATGGAGTTGGCAGTCAGCCTCCTAGTATGTGGGGCCAAGGCTGATGCTGCTTTTGCATCCAAGTAACCGTGAGTTATAGCAGATGTCGCTGAACAGACTGAGGCTGAATGAGAACAGATGGGTGGAGCTCACGATCAGACAAGTTCCTTCTAGAGCAGAGGGACGGTTTTCTAAAATGTTGGAAGTGAGTTGAGAGTTCACCTCTTTAATGTTTAACAGAGTATTCTTCTGAAAACTGCTTATCCACCTCACATGGTTTCAGAGTACTGGCCTCAATTACTAATATAAGAAAGACTTAATTGAGAAATTCCTAAGCATATAGAAAACCTGGTTTACTGTATTTCTTGCACATTCCATGTAACCCTAGCAAAATGCAAGTCCTTCCTATTTGTGTTCTGTTGCCTTTTCCATTAGAAGATTTACTTAGGAAAATTAATTCCTACAAAATTTTGACATTGCTTGATTTTACCCAATGGGGAATGTACTTTGAATTTTTAGAATACTTTCACAAAAAGAAAATAGGGTAGAACCATTTTTAATTTGTTTCATGAGAAGCAAAATGTTAAAGATAAGGTTGATATATACATAAATATAGGGTTTTTTTGAAGTTTTTGTTAAAGGAACAGTAGAAAACCAGATAACCTGTCCACAAATGGTTATGTCTCTTCATCTTCTCAGAGGCCCTCTACCCATGTGCGTGTGTCAGTGGGATACACTGTTGGGGGATTCCATACCACTCCAGTGGCTGTCTAATGTTCAACCCCTCAAGAATCTGAATTTGAGTCCCCAAATTGTCAGAAACACTTGACTTCTCTGTGTCAAACTACTGGTCAGCTACTGAAAAATTGTAGAACTCAGGTCTTATTTGAAGTGGAGAACATAGTGGCTCATACAAAGTTTTGGTGCTGTTAGAAAGATGGGCACAATTGTGTGGCTGCCTTATTTTTATATGGGAAAATGGGGAAAAAATGAAGAAAAAATGGAAATGAAGGAAAAGCCCAAGATAATAGTGATAGGTGATGTAAAAACATCTTCCTAACCAGACAACAGAAGCTTTGAGTTATAGAGCAGTGATGTTGTCTAAAAAAGTTATTTTGAGAATATACCACTTTAATAGTATAGTCTCTTAAAAATTGTCCTTTATCTGTGAACCCTTTTCTTGTCTTCTCATTGTTTCCCACCCTACTTATTGGAACCATCACAAAACCCAGTTCTGAGATGACTTGACCAAAAGTAAATGTATTTACTTTTTAGTCAGAAGAACTCTAAAATTCTAAGTGTTCTTGTGGTAGATTTATTTTCAGGAAACATTAGATTGTATTGAAAACCTTTAATATAGGCTATACCAAAACTGATCATTCTTTTTTTGTAACTTCCTTTCATTCATTTCCCTCTGTAATTGCTCTGTATTAAAATAGAAGGTAAAAAGGCCATAGCACATTACCAAAAATAACATACAGAACTCTTGACCTATGAGGTCAAGTCATTACAGTCATTGTGTGATCTGATTAGGTTGTCAGGGGGTGAAATCCAGTGATCTGTCTCCAGGTGAATGTAATCTACTCCCAGGACAGTCCTGATGATCTCTAGCCCAGAGAGGCTGGCCTCTGCAGGATTCTGAGGTCTCTGTGTGTATCTCCCATTTAATAGAGAAGTTTAAGAGAATTTCTGAAAGAACGTCACTCCTGCTTATGGGAGCAGTTCAGGAATCCTATGGAAGAAAGAAAAATGTACGAGTCTTATTTTTATCCAAATGGATTGGAAATGTATTTGAAAATTTAAATGCAGGTATGTCATAAAGCTACAGTGCTACCATAGAGTCATTGAATTACCACTCCGAATACAAGCGAGCGCTTTATTATACTACTGTAGAGTGTACGTGTGCAATAAGTTGATGAATTCATTTTCCTGGTGTAAAGAAGAGCCAACGCGAGCAGCTTGGTAATCATTGGGTGCTATTATAATTGTTTGTAGCGAGTGCTATTTTCCAGGAGATGGAGCCAGTTAGGTTTGGCTGATCTACTGAATATCAAATGATGCTCTTCTTTCCATGTAGACCTTCAGCAAAAGCCGGTACTTGGAAGCCACAGGCTCATCTTCTTTATCTACTCAATAATTATTAATGAAGAGACCTCCATAAGGGAGCACTTGGCTGTTATTGATAAATGTACCAATTATTAAATAATTAGTCTTCAAGCCATTCAGTGATGTCTGCAGCATCACTATAGAACTGTCTTGTGTCACTTTTTACTTCGCTCTGGGGGGGAGCCTTAAAGACTCCCCTAATCATGGAGGCAAGTTAATCATTCTCCCCAGTTAGTGACTTTTGCCCCATAATTGGGTAAGCACTTCCTAGATTGAGAAAAGCAGCTACAGTAAATCCTGCTGTTTCCCTCATTTGGTGATCCTTCAATCATACATAAGCTCCTCGTATTCTAAATTTCATGCACTTCTCCCAGATGCTATAGGGTTTTCTCTCACTGTTGCCAATGGATGTCATCCAGACAGTGAGTTCATATCTTATGGTTTTGTGCAATCATTGTCGTATTGTAGTCCAAGACTCATTATAGTGTATTTTTGATATTTTTGAAATGTGTTAAATTTTTTAATTCAATAATATGAGCCAGGGCATGTTGCAGCAAATCTATTGTTTGTAAAAAATAACAATAATAATAAATAAAATAAAATGGAATATCTTTTTCATGGCTTTGTTTTAAAATGGAATACCTCTTATTTTATAAATACTTTATTTTAGCATAAAACTGTAATTTTCTCTAACTTGTATACAAAATTAGTTTCTTAACCAAAAGCACCTTTAGGAATTTTCTGCTTTTTCTTTAGGGGAAGCTAATAAGCAAATGAAACCACATTCCATAACACTCTATGAAGCTAGGAGTTAAGGCAAGAATAAATATTTTTGATCACCTTTTAAGCGAAATAGCAATAAAGATTTTTTTACCTCAAGAAATATTATATTCTGACTTGGTTTATATGTTTAAAGAAATCCCAAAGACAGGAAACACGGTCCTTATTTACATGCAGGTTATTAGCTGACTAGAGGAAACTCAATTGTAAACAATTCACAGCTCCTCTTAAGTTGGAGAGCTGATGATGACACAGAGGAAGGAGCTAAGTGGATCATCTGGCCATCATGTTTGTCATAATGTAGTGGCTTTGGTGTCAGAACTTCAGACAGGGCCGGCCCTGTGGCTTAGGGGTTAAGTGCGCAGGCTCCACTGCTGGCGGGCCGGGTTCGGATCCCGGGCACGCACCGACGCACCGCTTCTCCGGCCATGCTGAGGCCACGTCCCACATACAGCAACTAGAAGGATGTGCAACTATGACATACAACTATCTACTGGGGCTTTGGGGGAAAAAAAAGGAGGAGGATTGGCAATAGATGTTAGCTCAGGGCCGGTCTTCCTCAGCAAAAAGAGGAGGATTAGCATGGATGTTAGCTCAGGGCTGCTCTTCACAAAAAAAAAACCAAAAAACTTCAGACATGGTGGGTTTTGGCTCACAAAATGCTTATAATCCAGTTAGGCCTCTAAATTGTTCCTCCTTCTTCCACCCATTGGTTGCCTCCCATAATCTCTGGACTTCCAAGCAAGATTTGCTACCTCTCCAAATAAAGGTCAAGATGAAATCATTTTGCAGGTTTCCTACTTTAAGATTTGGTTCACCAACTGTTCATCCATGCGCTGAGCTCAATGCCACCATCTACTTTAACACCTCAGTTCCATGAGACACACACCTCCCTATTCCAGGTGGCAGAAGTGAAATTTTCTGCTTCATGTGATGTTAATTCCCTGGTACACCAATGGCCGCAAGAGGACATTAGTCACTCAGAACACATTCCAGTATATGATTCATTGGGTCTGAGTTTTGCCTCTGCTACTTAAAAGATTTGATTTTAGGTAAGTTACTTAACCCCTCCAAGGCTCAGTTTTTGTAGGAAATGGTATCGCTCTCATCAGTTATTTGTGAGCTTAACCGGTAAGATCAATACTGGACCTGGCCCATAGTGAGCAGTCAACGCAATGTCAACTGTTGAGTAAGCCACTTCACCTTCTTGAACCTTTGTCTCCTCAACTGTAAGATGCAAATAATAAATCTTGACCTGCCTACTGGACAAGTAGTAGCAGATCAGACAAGGTTTGCTAAAGCATTGTGAACGTTAGGAACCTGCAAACGTGGGGTGTTGTGATTACAGTGATGGCTGGGCTCCAATCACTAGAGCAGAGCTGGATCTTGGGAGCAGTATTGTAGCTGGGCCTAGGTCAGATAGGCCAAAGTCCCCATTTTATCAAGCACAAGACAGGGGTGAAGCTCTCATAGGGACATGTTTCAGGGAATAAATGCTAGGTGAGAATAGTAGGTGTGGGTATTCTTTTGAGGGGGAGGGAGGAATTGTTTGATTTTTGCTGCTGTTAGACTTCTTGTCTACCACTTAGTGAAAACTGTGTGGGACCTAGCCACTGCCTCGAGGCTAAGGGTGATAGAGTGGAAGTATCCTTCTGTGGCACAAGTGTTTGTATTTTAACCTAGCAATGTATATTTCCAGTTGATTATTTTCCTCCAAGCTTTACTTTTTGTAAAAGTATAATTAGTTTCCTATTTCTGTATGAGATTTAGTTTTGATCCTTCGCCTTGGATAGGTTCAATAATTAGCTATTGAAAGGATTTGAGAGGAGAGAGGAAAGGTGATACATTCTAGGGAAGAGAGAAGAGTCAGCAGACATGCAGGGGTAAAAATGACCAACACATGTTAGAGGAAAATAATGTTGACAAATTTTTTTAACAGTCATTTTGGCATATGTTGAAACAGGCTTTTGTTTGCTGATTTCTTACTAACTGTATAGAGAATCAGATTTATGTCAAAATTGCATTGTGGGGGACAGCCCGGTGCATAGTGGTTAAGTTTGTGCACTCTGCTTCGGCAGCCCGGGGTTCACGGGTTCAGATCCCAAGCATGGACCTACGCACCGCTGATCAAGCCATGCTACGGCAGGTGTCCCACATATAAAACAGAGGAAGATGGGCATGGATGTTAGCTCAAGGCCAATCTTCCTCAGCAAAAAGAGGAAGATTGGCAACAGATGTTAGCTCAGAGCTAATCTTCCACACCAAAAAAAAAAAAAATTGCATTGTGGAAATAGGTTTTTAAAAATCTGGTTTGAATTTATTAATAGTTTAATCATAGTTATAATATGAAAATAAAACAAGGATATTATAAAAAAGAATTAGCTATTGAAAAGCAAGAGGACAATTAGAAAAAAACCTATATAATAAGAATGTGTATATTTCTAGTTGCATCTGACATGAACTGAAAATCTGTGACTAGTTGTAAAGTATAAGAACAGCTATAAAACTTGAGATTAAAATTATTGAAAGAACTTTATTTTTAAGATTCCGTGTTAATGATCTGTTACATTATGAAAACAATTCAGGGTCCTGAAAGATGACAATCTACCTTTGAAGGCCTACTCTATAGGGTGCTGTCAGGGAATGCAGAAATGAAGAAGCCTCTATAAGCTTTTATCGTCTAGTAAAATTATCTGCTTTGTCTTTGAAATCAGTTGAATAACATGTTTAAGAAGTTTATGAATTTTATTTCTCACTATTTGGAAGCCTCATATTTAAGAAAATTATAAAATATTTCAGGAAAGTGAATTCCAATTGAATGACTTGCAACAAGAAAGAAACTAACTTTGAAGGCTGGCAAAAAACATTTTCTCAGCCCAAATCTGGGAACCCCGAGGAGTAACATGCATGCTCAAAGCATCTCTCTTCCTGTATCGACATCCAGCCTGCCATCTCTAATGGAAGAAGCCTCCTTGGGACCCAGGCGGTCACGCTATACTGCCGTATGGGCAGAATAGCTTCCCTCTAGGAGATGGTCAGAATGTAATTACTCGTTTAGAATTCAATCACACAACTGCTTTAAAATCATTCCCCT